TATATATATATATATATATATCTGAATAAATAAACAATATTTTAAAATTACAGTCTCCCTTAGGCCTATTTCCCTCCCAGTTATTTCCTCTTAAAGGCCAAATTCCTCCAAAACGATGATCATAGTTTTTGCCCACTTCTGAGCATCTTCTACCTTCAATTAAGCCAAATGCTACTTCCTCCCTCCCCCACTTCACAGGAAATACGCTGGCCCGAGGGTCCCTGTGACATCTGGAGGGGTTACCTGAGTGGACTCTTCTCAGTGTGGACCTTCCTTAATACCGCTGCAATGTTTGAAGTGGCCCAAAGCTGTCCCCTTACAGCCGGCTCCCCTAGAGAGAAGACACTGTCCTCTCCTGGCTGGTGGCGCCATCTGCTGGTATTCCTGGTGTTATACTCGACTTGTTTTCTCTCTATTCCTCTCCCTGGGGTCTTTAGCTCCTCCAAGGCTGGCATCCTGGCCAGGTGGGTGAAGAGATAGTCAGGTCATCTAGACAATTAGCAACCCCTACGTCTTTGCTCTACTGTGTGAAAAACCCCACACTGAAGTCAGCATGATGACACCCACAAACTTCTGGGAGAAGCAAACAAAAATTTTCCTCCATGCAAATCTCCACAACCCAAGGCCCCGAGGACACCAGTGTCAAGGAATTCCTCTCGATGCTGGGCTAGCTCACTGAAACATGAGTAACATGCCTGTGGCTGACATTGTACTTACTATGCATTCTTTCTCCCCAGTACTGGGGGAATCAGGGATGGATGTCCACTTTCAACACTATAATTCAAGACAGTGAGACAAGTTCTATCCACTCCAATAAGGTGGGAAAGGGATGGATCTCTGTTTGCAGTTGACATGATTATGTAGAAAATTCCAAGGAATTTATTTCTAAAAACAAATAAATCTAGAATAATGGGGTGAGGCCCACTGACACCTGGTGTATGACTTCTGATCTCTGGGGCTGTGAGAGGACAAACTTCTTCTGTTTATTTGTTTATTTATTTTAGAGGACAGATATCACTAAATCGCAGCAGTCTTGGCCACTGGCTCCCTGGGAGCCAGTTTTCCATCCTGGCCTCAGCACTTTATAAAATGTATTTATTTATGTATTTTTTTTGTAATGTATGAGTGCTCTATCTGCATGTACACCTACCGGCCAGAAGAGGGCATCAGATCCCATTATAGATGGCTGTGAGCCACCATGTACGCGGTTGCTGGGAATTGAACTCAGGACCCCTGGAGGCACAGTCAATGTTCTTAACCACTGAACCATCTCTCCAGCCCGTGGCCTCAGCACTTCTAAAAATTATCACTACACCACTATGTTTTCACCTGCACATTGCAGGAACCCCAACCAGATGTCAGACAAATAGAAGTTTGATTCTTTGTCATCGCGAGTTGATAACTCTGGCTCGGCTGCACAGAGATTTCTTGGGACCCAGGCCGCTTGCTTCCACCTCTGCTCTGTCGGGCTCAACAATGCTGCCGTTTGCTCTGTCCCTGTGTTTGCTGCCTCCTGATTGCTGTTGCCACAACCCTGGGCGTGAAAATCGAACGAGGACAGGAAGGAGCCGGAGAGAACACCCTCGGAGGGTAAACAGCTTGCTCTGCAAGCCTGACAACCTGAGTCCGAGCCTCAGATCCCACGATGGAAGGAGAGAAATGATTCTCAGAACCATGTGGTGGCATGCATGTGTGTGTGTGTGTGTGCATGCACACACAAAGTAACCATAACTAAAATTAAAATTTAAAAACCATAAATAGAAATGTTAAAGACATATAAAGGAGAAAGGGAGCGCTGTATTAGGTTCTCCATGGAAACAGAACAGAGAATTTATGTATATTAAAAGGGGATTTATTAGAATGACTCACAGGCTGTGGTCTGGCTAGTCCAACATGGGCTGTCTCCTGATGGAAAGGTCAGGAATATGGTAGTTGTTCCATCCACAAGGCTGGGTGCCTCAGCTGGTCTTCACTCTGTGTTGGAACCAGAAAGAAGTGGACTCTAATACCATCGAAGGAATGCCCCAGCAGCAGGATATATGAGCTTGCCAGAAGGAATGAGGGCAAGCAGACAAAAAAGCAAAAAGCATCCTTCTTCCATGGCCTTTTATGTGAGCTGCTACCCGAAGGTGTGGCCCAGATTCAGGGAGGGTCTTCTCACCATCGGAAGCTAACAGGTTGGGTTAGGAGTGTCTATTTTCTGTCGTGGGTACCCACCATCCCTCTTAAAGTGGATCAGAGATTAAATGTGGCATTCAGAGACTGGTTGGAACCTTCTTGGGCCAAAGATACAACCAGTTTCCAATCCAGTTAGTCATTTTCCAAATGTCCAACAGAGTCAATTCTTTGCGTTTTTAAACTATGAGCTAAGGGAAAAACTCTCTGTCCCTTAACCTTGAAGTGACTTTCCCTCAGCCCTGCGTGGTTGTGTTAGAACGGCAAGAGCTCTGCCAGGCTGAGGCCCCTGCCAACTCTGCCAGGGAACAGAGATGCCCACTCACGGCTGTGGTTGATAGGACTGCTCTTACTATTTCCCTCATTTTGACTGGGATAGCGATGGACAGGGAGCTGGGGGACCAGCTCTATCACCTCAGTCTTCATGTTAAGCTGTGTGAACCCCAAGTGTCCCTTGTCTTCCCAGGCCTCAGTGTCCTTGTCTGTAAAATGGGAAGGTCAGATACTCTCTGAGGTCCCTGGCAGCTCGGCCACTTTGGCATTTCCGATTCTTCCCAGAGCTTGGAGTCACAGATGTAAAAATGACCTCTGTTTAGGTCAGCTAAGCAGCTGGAATACCTGTGCCACACGGCATCTTTGCCAATTACCAGGTGTCATCTGGCTCCTCCTCTGTGTGCGGACACCTGGCGAGCTCTCTCAAGTGGGTGGCTGTTGAAGCTGGGCCTTGATCTCTGAGGCACTTCTGCTGAGCCTGAAGCCATGTGGCTGGTCTTTCTCCTCCTGCTGTGGCTGGGCCCTGTGATCCCCAAACGAAAGACAGGTAAGGAGCTGGGCTGAGCCCTGTTCCCGAGGAGGTCAAGGAGACCCTGCATTTGTTCTCATCCACCCAGCTGTTCTCTATCATTAGTTTCTGGTGAGATATGCCACCTCTGGAATATGCCACATTCTGTCACTGGCCAGACCATGCCAGATGTAACGTCTCTGTGTGTCCGTCCACATGATGTCTCTGCAGCAAGCTTCATGTCGGGTTGGGGAGACATGGAGTCTTCAGAGGCGGCTGTGGTGTGTACAGTTTTGGTGGAGGGGGTGAGGGATCAGGAGGGATAATAAGTGTGACAAGCCCAGGTCCGGATTAACAGCAGCCTGGCCCATCAGTCATTGACTAAAATGTACCTTGGAAATGCAGCAGGAAATTCAGTAAAGGCGTATTTCCCAGAACTTTTAGAGAAGGCTAGTGGATGTTGTGGGTAGGCAACCTTCTTGAGCATACTTCAAACAGCATGCAAAGGGCCACGCTATAAGATGGGCTTATAAAAAACAACAACAACAACAACAACAAAAACATTTCTGGGTGAGGGTGGGGCTTCAGTTCTGATGAGCATGGCCTGAGTTGGGGGTTGGAGCCAGATCATGGGGGGCCCTGGAGGACTGGGCGGTGCTGCTCAGTACTCCCTTCCACACCCTGTAACACCCTCACCTTCTGTGGAAAACCGCCAAACTTTGCTTTGGAGGGAGCCAAGCCAGCTGCCCCTGAGTTCTTCCCATTTTCAGACAGGGTCTCACTAAGTTACCCAGGCTGGCTTGAGCTCAGTCTGTAGTCCCAGCAACCCTTGAAGGTGAGGTCCTCTTTCCCCAGTCTCCAAGGAGCTGGGATTACTTGCCATCAGTATCTGATGATACCTATGCTTGTTTTGAGACAAGGTCTCTCTCTATAGCTCTGGCTGTCCCAGCACTCACTACATAGACCAGGCTCGAACTCACCAAGACCCACCTGCCTCTGCCTCCTGAGTGCTTGAATTAAAGGCGTGAGCCACCACCCGGTCACTATGTTTGATTTTTTTTTAACTCACTCTTTTTCTCCTTTTTTTCCCCTTCCTTCCTTTAAGATTTTATTCTTATCTATGTGTATGTCTATATGTCTATGTGTGTGGATATACATGTGAGTGAGTGCAGGTGCCCACAGAGGCATGAGACCCCCCTGGATTTGGAGTTACAGTCAGTTTTGAGCTGCTTGATGTGGGAGCTGGGAACCAAATTCAAATTCAAGACCTCTTGAAGAGCAATAAGTGCTCTTAACCACTGAAACATCTCTCTAGACTGCCCACATGCTCTCTCTCTCTCTCTCTCTCTCTCTCTCTCTCTCTCTCTCTCTCTCTCTCTCTCTCTCGTTCCCATGTGGTCCAAGTCAGTCTTAGACTCAGGCTCTTCTAGCCTCAGCTTCCTGGGTACTAGGATTATAGACGTGTGTCTCACACCCAATCAACCTTTCCATGTCCCCGGTGAGCTACATTTCCAGCTCCTGAACACCATCACAGTAATGAGCTAGTTCTTTAGCAGCCCGGGGAGCCTGGGTTCATTTGTCTTTTTAGTGTATAAAGTATAGAGGTCTCATGATGACATTTTCAAACACATTTCATTTCTGTCGATCATCCCCCCGTCCCCCCCCCCCATTCCCGGTCTCCCTCCTATGAGTCCCTTCCTCTTCTCACTGTCCCCTGCTTTCCTGTCACAGGTATTTTCCTTCCCATTCATTATTCTCTCTTTCCTCCCCCCTACCCCCACGGTAAACTTTCTCGGTTTCAAGGATAGCACACACACACACACCCGTGCACATACATAATCACTAAAATCTAGGTTCAGCACAGAAGAAAAAAACATGGTGTCAGTCTTTCTGAGTCTGAGATTCTTCACTTAGCTTAGCATTCTCCAGTTCCATCTATTCTCCCAAAAATGTCGTGCATTTTCCTCTACTGTGGCAGGAAGGCTGGGTTCAAGTGTGATCTTGATACGTAAGAACATTTCCTTCTAGTGGATTGGGAAGGGTCGGATGCCCCAAGCTGACGGCATGGCATAGGAAGCAGGGTGTTCAGAGGCTAACAGACTTGGGTGGCACACACAACAGGCACCTGTGTTAGTGACACTCGTGGGTGCAAGGTGGCGGGGAAGCCAGGAAGGGGGAAAGTCAGGCCAGTGCCTCTTCTCCCCGCTTTGGGCCACCTCAGGCATGGCCTTGGGTACATATCCATCCTCCATCTACAGAATGAGAGCCTCTCGATAGATCAGGGACTTTCAGGCGTTTCTGGGCCCAGTCCATAGTTATAACCACGAGTCATCCTGTGACCTAGTTTATTCATACATGTAGTTAAGACAATCTTGAAAGCAACTTCTTCTTGTTATAGATAAGGTATGTAGGCCGATTTAATTCGATTTAACTCAGTTTGGTACCATCCCATCCCACCTCATCCTGTCCTATCCCACTCAAGTAAACATTGGTAACATTGAATTGACCTCTGATTCATAAACAAGGCCAAGCCTAATTTGGATGGCTTCTCCCAATCTTCCCTCTCCAGCTGATTCTTGGTCTTGGATGCCAGACCAGGTACCTGGGAAGAGGGGTGATGATGTCAGAGTGGAAACAGCTCGTCTGCTCCCTGAGCTGTCTGTGAGGTGGGAGCCAAGGCAAGCTCAGAGGCTGCCAGCCCAGCCCCGCTCACCTTGAGACGTCCTAGGCCACCAGGATCCGATCCTTTCATCAGACTCCTATTTTCACAACACCTTCACCGGCCTTGCATCCTTTCAAAGGCCTGCTTCTGTTGAACCTGTCAACGCTGGACGTCCTCAGGTTTATCCTTAAACAAGGCCCTAGGCAGGTGCTACTAACAGGAATCACCTGAGAAGGAGAGAGAAAATAGCATTAAGATATCTGGGGCCCGTTCTCGTGAACCAGACTCTGCGGTAACTTTTCCTCATCCCTCCTACCCACCCACGCTTTGTTTTTTCCACCTCTTAAAAACGATGTGTATTTGTGGGTTACTAAGCAGATAGCCACTGAGTCGAGCAACTTAGGGAAATGATGAGGAAAAGAGTGGCCAAAACTTACTTGTGAGAACGGCGTGGATATCTTCCTCTTACAGCCGTTCCCTTCCAAGCTTCACAGTTTTAGGTCTGTGAGCCATCTTGAATTACCTTTATGTATACGGCGTGAGGCAGGACCCCATTCTCTTGCATGTGTGCATCAGTTGTCCCCACACCCCTGTCTTTTTAATGTCTCTTTTCCCTCAGGCAGTTGTACCCAGCCCCAGCCTCTCTGCTGCCCGGGAACGAATTACCACTGCAAGAGAGGAAGCTGCTATTGTGATGAATTCTGCCGTGCGCTCTCGGACTGCTGCTCAGACCACAGGGCCTTCTGCAACCCTGGTGACCTGCATGCAGGCTCTCTTCCACCCATGGCACAGATGGATGCTGTAACAGACAGAGGCAAGCCTGTCCTTTTGATGGTGGCCGTGATGTGGACTGGTTACGTCCCTGTCCCTGTTAATTCTGTAGTTCTGGAAGTCTATGCATTTCATGCCCAAAGTGTCCGCATATTCCTTTCAGCTTGGCTTCTCCCAGGCACCTTTCTGCCCACTGCTCTCCTCCAAGCCTTTTTTTAGATCCCACGGGGGAGAGTCTGAGCTATTGGTGGTGAGGCCTAGGGTAGGGGGATGTGGAGGGCCACATTGTCTCTTGCTGTGCACATGCCTCTTGGCCTGCTCAGAGACTTCAGAGCAGAAAGGAGCCCGCAGGGAGGTGTCTGGGACGGTGAACAGCAGAGAGGTGTCCAGGATGGTGAACAGCAGGGAGGTGGTGTCCGGGATGGTGAACAGCAGAGAGGTGTCCAGGATGGTGAACAGCAGGGAGGTGGTGTCCAGGATGGTGAACAGCAGGGAGGTGGTGTCCGGGACGGTGAACAGCAGGAAGGTGTCCGGGAGGCTGGGAGGCATGAATGAAGATGCAGACCGGGCTTTCACACTGTGTTTCAGCCACTCACACTCCCAAGGTGGTGCTGCAGTTGGTGCTGAGGATGAGGGGCCCAATCGACTCAGCCAGCAGCACTCAAGATTGGGTGCAAAGCGTGGTGAGTACCTGGGAGGGTCCTCGACTGGGGCTGGGTGGTAACCTGCTCCTGCCTCTCTGGACTTCTAGGCCCCCAAGTAGGGAAGGGGAGGGGAGGGTGGGAGAGGGGAGAGGGGGAAAGGAAGAGAAGAGAGGGGAGGGGAGGGGAAGGGAGGGAAAGGAAGGGAAGGGGAGGGAAGGGTCCTTTGAGTTAGGGCAGAGCGCCCTATTTGAACCTCATATCATTTTCATGTGTCATAAACTTTCCCTTTTTTCTCTACCGCCATTTAAAAATACACAAAACCGGGGGCTGGCGAGATGACTCAGTGGTTAAGAGCAACTGGCTGCTCTTCCAAGGGACCCAGGTTCAAGTCCCAGAACTCACACGACAGCTCACAACTGTGTGTAACTCAAGTTCCAGGGGGATCCATCGGCTTCACACAGACGTACATGCAGGCAAAACAACCATACACATAAGACAAAGATGAATATTTTTTTAAAAAAAGAAAAATGCACAAAACATTCCTAGCTTACAAGCTGTACAGGAACAGGCAGTGTGCCAAATTCACTGACTTGTGTTCTAAACTCTCCTCTGCCCTCCTCTTTCCTTCTGTGCCCTGGCCCCCAAGTGCTCGGCCCAGCACAGAAGGACACACCTCACCGTTATACAAGAGGATGGGGTGGGGGGGTCCTGGCTCCTGTCCTTGCTACCTGGGGGACCCGACTTGGGTCCTCTAGCTGCTGAGCCTGTTTGCTCTTCTGGGTCCTAGAGCCTGCCCGGCTGGGCAGAGGTGGCAAGTCACGGAGAGAGCAAGTATGGAAGGGCATGGTTCTTGCTGGCACAGGAGATGGGTTAGAATATGAGACCACGTGTGTCAGCGAGAGAGCGGACCGGCTGTGTTGCTCACTTAGGTTCTGCAGCTCCTCCACAGCAGCGTCCCCAGAAGGCCACTCTCCATGACGGTGAAGGGAATCAGGAAGGGAGCCTGACTCCTGAGGCTCCTCCCCCAGCCGGGCCAGCAGGACACACGGAACCACCATCACCCACCTGCCGTTGGTTGGGGACATTACGGCTGCCAGTCCAGGGATGTCTGTCTCCCAGCTGCCATCCTGGGAGCCCCCACCCACATTGGCTTAGCCCGGGGAAAACAGAAACCTGGAATTGTTATCAACCCATCTAAAAAAAAAGTGCATAGAATTAGCCATTATAGAAACTACAAAACACAGCCGGCTCAGAGTGTTATTCATTGTGTTGACATGATGACATGCATGTACAATTACAATGTGTAGGTGTGTGTAGATGCATATGTGTATTGAAAGGATGATAAATGGCACTGGTTACCTCGCCGCGAAAAGGCCTGGCAGCAGAGCGCTTTATTAGGAGGAAACGGGGGTGTGGGGGTGTGAGGGTGGGGAGGTGGGGGGAGAGGAAGAACCAGGCCTGGGAAAGAGCACGTGCGCGTGGAGGTCAGAGAGAAAGATGGGGGTTGGGAGAGAGCAGAGAGAGAGGGTGGGGTCTGTGTCTGGCTTTTTAAGGGCTCCCGGTGAAGCAGACTTATGGAGCTACACCACGCATGCGCTGATTGCGTGACCACACGGCTCGCATGTAGTCGCCCGTGCTCACTGATGACGTAAGACGCAAGACCCTTTGCTTAACTCCTGAACTGCGCATGTGCGGTCTTGTAGCCGGAGTGCGGGCAGAATACTAACGTATATGTAGTACAATATAACAATGACTTGAAAGTAGAAAATCAGGGAGCTGGGGGTGTCGCTCAGTTGATAGAGTGTTTGCCAAGCATGTGCAAAACCCCATGGTCAGTGCTCAGCACCCCTGAAATCAGGTATGGTGGCACACATCCATTATCCTAGCACTAGAGATGGAGGAGGTAGAAGCAGGTAGATCAGATGTTCAAGGCTATCCTTGGCTATATAATGAATATAAGGCCAGCCTAGGCTACACTTATGTACACACATCTAAAAAAAAGCAGAAAATAAAAACCCAAACCAGTAACCTTTAGTTAAGTAACCCACCCTCTCTCCCTCATATTCTTTCCTGGGCCACTCAACCTTCTGGATCTCAGCCACAGGGTCATCTTTTACTTCTCTCTGCCAATGGCCTTCTTCTAATGCCATGTCACATCGTCCCATCCTTCCTATTCTAGTCCCGTGGCTACCGTCTAAGGTCAGCGGTTCCTTCCCAGTGCTCTTCTGGCCAGATCGCGTCACCAAAGCTCTGGTGTGTGGCCAGTTTCCTGTCCAGAGGCCATCCGTGGGTTTCCATCCTCTACACGACAATGGCGAAAGTCCTGGGCCTGGCCTGCCACAACCCAGCTCAGTACACAGTTCCAGCTTGATCCCTTGCTAATCCCCTTCACTGCTCTGGGTTGCAGCCGGACAGAATCACCCATTCTCCCCGCCCACGCCTCGCTCTAGGCCTCTGCTAAGCTGAACATGGTTTCTGGGCAACTGATTGCAGCAAGGATCCCCGTTGGCGTAGAGCCCAGCTCTTGGCTAATGGTTTTGCGTTGGCTTGGTTTCTCCGAGTGATTTATTTAGGAACATAACCCCAAGGATTAGGGTGAGGAAAGTGAAACAGGACTGAAGGGAGGGCCGGGACAGAGACCTGCCCTCCAGTCTGCTCTACTAACTCTGGTTACTTCACCTGTGGGATCTTCTAAGAGGCCTTGGGAAACCTGTCTGAAAGGCATCTATCTGGTGACAGATCAGTATGCCTGTCCCCTTCCCCATGGGTTACAGGTTGGCCTCTGGAGTCCTGGAAATAAATATTCAAAACATGCAATGAATAACAAATTTACACGGACTAGTGAAAAACTGGAATCGACCCAAACCCAAACATCCATCAAGAAGAAAATGGCCAGAGAATCATTACCATGGTGGATTATTACCATGGAGAACCACCCACCATCAAAAGGACAAAGCGTGGCAATACATGAGCGCTCCCATGAGACTTGCAGACATAATGTTAAATGGAAGAAGCCAGGTACTGAAAAGTGGGTGTACAGTCCTGTTTCCATGTGGTTCAGAACCAGAACCCCTCTATGGTGGCAGGGGGAGGCAAATGCTTACAGCTGGCAGGAGAATCCTGATGGAAGAGGCTGTATGTTATTATTTTGTGTGGATCCAAAGGCCTCATGCATGCTAGGCGAGCTCTCTGCCACTGAGCTGTACCCTCAACTCAGTTTTCAACGTTTACTTTAAGGCAAGGTCTTACTAAGCTTCCCAGGCAGGCATTTAACTCACGCTAGTCCAGACCAATCTTGAATTTGCAATCCTCATGTGCCAGCTTCCAGAGAGGTTCCTTGCACACTGTCTGTCCTTGCGCAACATGCAGAACTTGTGGGATCCTCTCAGAACCCCACAGATGGTATGACGAAGATGTGTGTGTAGATGCGTGTGCACGTGTACGAACATTCATTTGGAGGCCAGAGGACAATCTCGGGTGGCGTCTTCAGGGACACACACCGTCTACTTCCTTTGAGACAGGATCTCTCGTTGGCCTGGAGTTCACCCATTAGGCTAGCCTGGCTGTCCAGTCAGTTCCAAGGATCCGTCTGTCTTTGTCTCCTCTGCTCTGGGATTGCAAAGCACATATCACCACACCGGCCGTTTTCCTGTGGGTCCTGGAGATCAGGCTTCAGCCCCCCTCATCTTGGAGGCAAGTATTCCACCTACCAAGCCATCTCCCTAGTCCTGCATGAAGGGTTTTTTTTTTTTAAGTGAAAATGTTGGGGGTCGGACAATATCATATCCTAACCTACCTGGTTAAAACAGAGCCCCTTAAAAAAACACAGCGTTAGCACAATTTCCTGCTATTCTGTCTGCCTTGGAGACAGACTGTCTGTCCATCCCGTGAGCATAACGAAGCTCACAGCTGCTTTCACCGTTTTCCCATTGCAGCCCAAAGCTTCGTGCCCTTTGCTAAGTTTGGTATATAAACATTTTGCTCTGGCTGTTCAGTGAGCTGCTTATAATGAGCACACCCAAGTGCGCTTGTAATTAAAGTCTGATCCTTTCTTAGGTGATATGCAAGCCCCAACTCCGAGACCCAAGTTGGGAGAAGGAGAAGGTACCTACACAGGAAACCCAGACCAACTCAGCTGTGGCCTGTGGAGCTAAGGATCAGCTCCATGTCTGGCACACAGATAGCTTTGCATTTCCAGGACATTTTATGCTGAGTCAGTTAGGCCCTTGTCCCAAGTCAGAATCGCCCCCACAATATGCCCTGGTTTTGTGGGGGACAGAGGATGGGGGAGCAGAACCTAAATGGTGCCGATGGCCCTGGATCCTTCCTGATGTCCAGGATGAGTCTGCACTGGTCCCTGACTCCACTGTGACATCTCACAGTGATCAAGTCGGATTGATCTCTGGTGCTACTTTCAAAACACGTCCCAGAGAGCTTTCACAGGCCTTCCTTTCCCAGCATCCCGCGTCATGCCTACGCTGGGGCGAAAGCCACCTAACTCCTAGTCCTCACGCTGTTCTCAACCCAGCTGCCAGGGTTCCCACTGCCTGGCTTTCTAAAACCCGACTTAGGACCCAACACTCGGCTCAGAGCTCTCTTGCTTGCCAAGTTATGAGTGACAGGGTGCCATTGTCTGAGACAAGGTTCCCGAGCGAGGCCAGCAGACCAAATGGAGTCACTTTAGTTTCACATCCCTGAAGCTACGTTATCTGAACTTAGAAATCAGAAGAGGTCAATTGCCCGCTTTTGAGAACAGGTGAGGAAATTCCTTCGGTTTAACTCTTACCAAAAAAACCAAAACAAAACAAACTAAGAAAAAGAGGCCTGATATTAACCAGTGATTAATTCATGTCTATTTCCCTGTTCACACCTTACCGGGAAAGTAGCTTTGAAGTCACCAAGTCTCTATTTGTTTTCCTTTTTCCTTTTTCTTGCAGTGCTGGGGGTGACCCCCATCCAGCCCCTGTCCCCCCACTTTTTTGTGCTCATCTGTTCTTTATTGCTCTTTGTCAGCTCGGCTCACCAGAAGGAAAGCTCATCCTGTTTTGTGGAACGAAGCCACGGAAACTCTGTTGTAATTTGTATTTTGATAGAGGAAAGCCTCGGCCAGCCAGGAGATCCCCATTACCCTCCCCGGCCGTTCTGCCGTCCCCACGGCCACGTCTTCAACTCCTGTGACTCCAGTGGCTCCTTGGTGCCCACAAACCTTCCCGCTTTGACCTCTCTCTAGCTGTTCCTACCGCCTCTCCTCACTTGTTCAGTACGGCAACCTGCACACACACACACACACACACACACACACACACACATCCTGCGACACCCCGGTGCTCTCCATTGCTCACAAATCCACCTACTGCGGCAGCAATGTTTGTTGCTCACCCTCTTCAGGAGTTAGCTCCCGAGGGCAGGCTCTGTCTGTTTTCCTCTATGATAATGTTATCTCAAGAGCGGAGAGCAATGTCTGGCATCTGGAAGCTTCTGCTCGCTAAGGTCGTGTGACACTTGTGCCCACTCAGGGTGAGCGCTGAGCTGGGCTGCAGAGATGGTCCAAGAACTTTCTAGTGAAGTCTGTGATGGCCCTCGGAGGCACCAGCCATCAGCCCAGGCTTGGAAGTGACCCTGGATCCCGAAGAAACCGAAGATCTTCTTAGGGGTTTGTTTGTTTTTTTCTCTTTATGCACAAGTATGCAGAGCGGTTGACGGTTTCAAGTGAAAAGGAAACGGAGTGGGGGAATTCCTTGTTGGGGTGAAAAATCTACTTGTCAGTAGATTAAGCTCAGAGGCAGGGAGGGACCTACCAGCTCCTGGAATGAGGAAGCCCCTGGCCCAGCAGGGGTGCGGCAGGAGAGCGGAGGAGTGTCTTCCTGCTGTGTTCCCTCCATCGACTCTGGCTAAGGAGTTTCACATGGGGTCATGGCGACTGGCGAGGTCTCCCGAAGTCCAGGTCACTACAGTGACGACCTGCTCCTCTCTCCGCCTGCTTAAAGGGTGGAGAGCTGAGTTTAAGTGGGGAAATGGAAGAGGCTGCACCGTGTTCCTGGGACTGGTCCCAAGATGCTCAACTCCACGTGGCAAGTTGCTCCACACAGAAGCCATCAGCGCCTTCCGAAGAGGTCGACACATGCCTTCTAATCCTTCCTCCTAGGTCTCACAGCCTGTCACCTCAGTGTGGAGCACAGCTCTAGACGACAGTGGCCCATATCCAGCAGCAAATCCTGGACTGCCAGGCCCAAGAGCCCTCAGAGCTCTTCTTGACCAAGGCCCAGAGTGGGCAAGCTCCTTGTCTAAGGTTGCAGTTTCTTACCCACCATGAAGGGCAGAGCTGGAAACAGGACAGATATTTTGATACAGTTTTAAACTTCTTTCTAGTTCCTACTTTTGTGATTCTGTGACACCCACCACTTCCGCTCCGTCTGCTCCGTCCCAGGCTACTTTCATCCAAAAGCACTTACTTAAAATTCTCAAGGAACCTTGTTTGGCCACAGGTGTGGCCACAGGAGCCCTTGGCCTTGGTCCTTGAGGGATGAGTCCCCTCTGTTTCAGGGGAGGCACATTGGAAATACAGTCTGTAACTCCACTGTTAAGTGTTCCTACTCATCTCTCTTACATTGACTCTCCTCCCCAGGCCCTTGGACCCAGAGGAGCATGGCACCCTCCACATCCTGGCACCTGAAGCCTGGCTGGGGACACAGGTCCTGGCTTTGACGTGGCTATAAAATCTCAGGATGTTGAAAATAGATATTAGAAGTGAGAGTCCTGCCCCCACACTGGAACATTGTCCCCTTGAGACCCCAGGAACACTCACATCTACTGGTCAGGGATGGGGATTCCCACTTATACCTTGAGCACCTGAGATGTATGTATGTTCTATGAGCACCAACCAAGTACAGGAAAGACTCTAAGAACTTCAATAGCCTCCTGAGTCAGACAGCATGCCCATTTTACAGATGAAAAAAGTTGAGGCTCAGAAAGGTTCTCTCATTTGCCCTTGATCCCTAGAACTAATAAAATCTAGGCCCAGCAGAGAAACTCGGGTCCTATCCATGAAGCCCAGACCCCAGGTAAGGATGAGTGGGGTAAACACCATCTCTCCCATGCCCTTCCCAGTTTTAGGAGAGGCTATCAGAACAGAAATGATGCTGTATTTTCAAATCAGAGAGGCAAGGCTGCCAGGCAAGGGGGCAGGGGAGGAGGCAGAGGGAGGCAAGCCTGTGTCAGCCCTCACTGAGCGTCTGTGTTCACCTGGCTGCATTCTGGAACCTACCCAGTCACACCTGGGCAGGCGGCGGCGGCGGCCCCTCCTCCCTGGATTGAGGAAGCAGGAAAGGGTGGTGAGGAGAGGCAGCAGGCAGGTCTGCCAGGCAGCGGTGGTCCGTGCCCAGGCGGGATGGGCTCTGTCTGGGTTCTAGCTGTGCTTCTCTTTTGCTCCTGCTGGAAGGCTGGAGTCACTGCCAGCTCTGCAGGTAAGGGACAGGACGGGAGCCGGGAGTCCTCCCCGGCAGGGCTCTGGGTGTGAGTTTTGGCAAAGACAGCCCTTTGTGGGTAAGGGTAGGCTTTTTGTTCATTGTCATTAACGGCCTGCTGAATGTAAAGTACGATGAGTGTGGACGAGTGTGCAGGATGACAGATGTGTTAACGTAAGCCTGGTGACACCGTGGCCATCGAAGTAAGAGAGCCTGGGAGTTAGTCTTCAGGCACGGGACGGTGGGGTGGGAGGGTAGAGGGGTCAGGGAGATGCCAGCTGGTGGTAATTTTGCTGTGAACTGAAAAAATACGGCCTTGAGAAGCTCCTGTTCATCCAAGGTTGTGTCCTAGCACGGTGATTCTTTGAAATTTGCCTTTTGAATGAAAAGTTTGTCACCAACTGCTTGGACGAGGAGCTTCTGAGAGAGGTGGGCTTTTCTGGAAGATGGGAGCCAACACGGACCTGTCACTGACGGGCACTGTGCCAAACTCATCACACACACTTTATTTATTTTTTCCACACACACTTTAAAAATAGATGGTTTCCGGAGCAAGCCAGACTGAGCAGAGGGTACGGAGACATCTCATCTACCCTGTCCCTGCCACTTATGGTCCCCTGCTGTGCATGTCCCCACAGCATCAGCACTGTTACAGCGGTGACCCCACACTGACACGTCACACTAGACAGGACCTTTTAATTCTACTTATTTATTTGTTGGCCGAGTCTCCCTAGGCAGGACCCTGGCTGCCTGGAACTTGCCATGTAGACTTTATATTTATTTATTTATTTTCCCTTTTCTCTCTGTGTGAGAGCGAATTTTTTTACCTAAGTATGGATTCACATGTATGTGTGTGTGTGACTGCGTGTGAACATTGTGTGCATTGTATGTGGAGGCCCGAGGCTGATTTTTGGGAATCATCCTTGAAGGCTCTTTCATCTTATTTCTTGAGGCAGGGACTTTCAATCAAAACCAGAGCTCATCGACATAGTGAGGGAGCGAGGGAGAGAGAGAACCTGATACATGTGGAGGTCAGATGAGAGTGTGGGGATTGAGCACAGGTCATCAAGCTTGGTGGCAAGCACCTCTACCCACTTGAGCTATCCGGCTGGACCAACATTACTTTTTAAATTCTCATAACTCTAATGACTGAGCATTCACCTCTAAGACACTGCCACCCATTTAAGAGCAAGGAGCCTGCAGTTTATATGGAGTAATTTATCCCCGGAGTCACCATGCCCTGCCAGTGCCTAACCCCTGGACCACCCTGTCTGTCGCACACACTCACAACTGGCCAGGCTTTTGCTGCATTTTTCACTCCGTTTAATTGCAACCTGACAACCTCATGAACGAGGTGCCCCTCACTCCATTTGGAGCCCAGAGACTTGGCCTGTGTCCCAGCAGAACAAGAAGCAGAGATGGGACTCACATCTGGCTCTATGCCCACAGTCTCCTCACCCCCACTTTGGCGGTATGGAGGAAGACTGCAGCAACCATCCTATGACCCGGGCTGGGTTCTGTGGACCAGGAGGCTCAGAGAAATAGCTTGGGCCGGGGAATGGGGGAGGTCTTTGAAGAAGGCCATCAGCAGCTCCCACGGATATGTGTGAGCACGCCGTTGGGTTGACTGGTGAGCACAGAGAGGATATGTGTGCAAGCATGCCCACTAATCGCTCTCCTTATGATGTCCTCAGCCCCCTGACTGCTTGCTTTCCTAGGACACATTAAATTCAGGCTGGGGGCTCCTCTCCCTTATCTTACCATTTATCTCTGAAGATGAGACTGTAGGTTATTTGTTGTGGATATCACTCTATATAAATAAAACACTGATGGCCAGTGACCAGGCAGGAAGTATAGGCGGGACAAAGAGAGAGGAGAATTGGGGAAACAGGAAGAAGGAGGGAGAGATACTGCTGCCACCGCCAGGACAAGCAGCATGTAAAGATGCTGGTAAGCCACCAGCCACATGGCAAGGTATAGATTTATAGAAATGGGTTAATTTAAGATAAAAGAACAGTTAGCAAGAAGCCTGCCACGGCCATACAGTCTGTAAGCAATATAAGTCTCTGTGTTTACTTGGTTGGGTCTGAGTGGCTGTGGGACTAGCGGGTGACAAAGGTTTGTCCTGACTGTGGACAAGGCAGGAAAACTCTAGCTACAGTTATTCTTGAATTTTAAGGAAATACATCCATGGGAAAATATTTTCAGTGAGCAAAACTGCCCATGGAGGAGTGACAAAGTTCCTACAGAAAGTTCTGGAAGTCCTCATTCCTGTTCTGTAGTCCTTGGCTCATGTGGATTTGTGTCTCCTTTGTCACCCTTGATGGTACAGTGCTGCACTGCATACCAATGATCAGCTGGGTCCTGGGGCTGCCTGGCCATTGCAGTCTTTAAGAGATTCTGCTCCAAGACCACACTCAGGGTATGCAAAAAAAAAAAAAAATCCACAAATGTGGCGAGGGCTAAAATTTTTCTACCCGAGGAAATTAGGAAAGAAACACACACATTCTGATGGTAACTTTCTCTTCTACTTCATCTTGAAAAATCTCTTCCTGAAAAATCTCTCTGTCTCCACACAGCTACATCTCTTTACACAGCTACACATCTCTTCTACACAGCTACACATCTCTCTTCTGCACATCTCTCTCACAGAAAAAAAAAAAACTCTGGACAATATATGAGCTACATTTTGAGGGTCAGAGCCATTTTGATAACACGAGAAATCACTTGGTTTCTCTCAGGCTAGGGATGTCACACTGGCCAGCCAGTGAGTGAGTAACCATGGCAACACTGGGCTGTCAACCAGACTCCCTGTAAATTGAAGGCGGTAGGCACATAGTGTCCAGTATTTCCTGATGGAGAGTGACATTGAAATTCATTTGAAATTCAGGACTTAAACAACAAACAGTTAGTTGGCTGAACCTTGAGTCCTGCATCATAAAACTAATGTTGGGGTACATGCAGAGAGTCAGTTGCTGAGAGGGTCTGTGCAGGGAGTTATGTCTTTAATGTTGTCAGCCAGACCTTTGCAAGAGAAGAACTGGCACTAAAGTTGCTTCATGCCTGACCTTGGTTCAACCGACTCCTGGGAATCTGTCCTTGTGCAACTCATTTGCAGGGGCAACTAGTCTGCTTTGAATTTGCTTTGAGGTCTTAAATCAACTAATGGTGTAAAAAGCCGTCTTTGTAACTGAGAATACTGTTATTTTCCTGTGTCAGTCTGAGCTATGATAAACATCCTAGTATTATTGCTATTCATCAAAATTATACAGCTTAAGAATAGATCATCTTCCTGACCATCCACAGATATATGTGTGCCCAGTAGATGGAATATATACATGAGATAAACACATAGGCAGTGAGGAAAATACCCATAGCTGTTTTTAGGGAAGAAATGTAGTGGGACATGAGGAAAAATTATAGACAAAAAACTAGTTTTCAGAGTCTGTGGTCCCGGAAGCCTTGCTTGATGAGGTTTCTCCATCAGAGAGTCATTCATCTGGTGGGTTGACACCTGAATTATTAATTATCATCTGTTTTATTTTTGTCATGGCCCATGACACCTGGCCTCAAGGGGATTATCAGGTGTAGACAAATCTTAAAAAGTTTTATTAATAAAAAACAAACCCGGAGCCAGGTATTGAGGTAAACGCTGAAAGATCAGAGAAACAGAACAAGCCACACCCAACCTCACCTCGCCAATTCATCAGCTGATCTTGTTTCTTCAGTCTGAAGCCTCTGAGTCCTCATCCAAACGAATCTCAGCTGAACTTCTGCTAAAAACTAGAAGCTTAACAAGGCTCTAGTTCCTGGTCCTCACACCTTATATGCCTTTCTGCTTCCTGCCATCACTTCCTGGGATTAAAGGCGTGAGTCACCATGCCTGGCTGTTCCCAGTGTGGCTTTGAACTCACAGAGATCCAGACAGATCTCTGCCTCTGGAATGCTAGGATTAAAGGTGTGTGTGTGTGTGTGTGTGTGTGTGTGTGTGTGTGTGTGTGTGTGCCAGCCACCATTTTCTGGTCTCTGTGTCTATCTAGTGGCTGTTCTGTTTTCTGACCCCAGATAAGTTTATTAGAGTGCACAATATATTGGGGGACACAATATCACCACAATCAGGATTTCAGAGGGCACTGGTCAGGGAAGCCTGTCTTCAGAGCTGCTATGAAGGTCATGGCTTCTCCGCATTGCTTTTTTCGTCTTTGTTTACATAGACAATGACCCTTTGTGCCATCCAGTAGCACCCAGGGCATAAATCCAAGTGCTCATGTGAAGTCAGCCTATCGGGACTCACCGAGTTGTTCTCACCCAACACAGGCCTGGGCATCGGCAGTTCAGCTCCTTTGGTGACAACCAGCAACACGGAACAGGGGGACAGGCCCCGCTCAGGGGGGGCTCTCCAGACCACTCACCTGACTCAGGATGTTCCTCTAGACGCTTCAACTCTGAGCACCTCCCCTACAACGTCAATCCTAGATATTCAGACCACCTCCCCTACATCACCAACCTTAGATATTCAGACCACCTCCCCTACAATGTCAACCCTAGATATTCAGACCACCTCCCCTACAATGTCAACCCTGGATATTCAGACCACCTCCCCTACAATGTCAACCCTAGATACCCAGACCACCTCCCCTACAGCATCAACCCTGGATATTCAGACCACCTCCCCTACAACGTCAACCCTAGATATTCAGACCACCTCCCCTACAATGTCAACCCTAGATATTCAGACCACCTCCCCTACATCATCAACCCTAGATATCCAGATCACCTCCCCTACATCACCAACCCTAAATATTCAGACCACCTCCCCTACAATGTCAACCCTAGATATCCAGACCACCTCCCCTACATCATCAAACCTGGATATTCAGACCACCTCCCCTACATCATCAACCCTAGATATCCAGACCACCTCCCCTACATCACCAACCCTAAATATTCAGACCACCTCCCCTACAACGTCAACCCTGGAGACCCAGACCTCTTCCCTTGCAGCATCAACCCTGGAGACCCAGACTTCTTCCCTCATAGCATTTACCATAGATACACAGCCCACTTCTCCTGCAGCATCCACCCTGGAGACCCAGACCACCTCCCCTGCAGCATCCACCCTGGAGACCCAGACCACTTTCCCTGCAACAGAGGCCCTAGAGAACCAGACTATTTTCCCTGTTGATTCGACCCTAAAAACCCAGACAGTTTCCTCTGTAACAGAGACCAGAACTCTCGCAATAAGAATACCTTCCAACTTCATGGTCGTGCATCCCATCCCTACGGACACTTCGGCTACACAGAGCAGCCCCAGGACTGGAATGAGCACTGCCATGACTGGCACACTGAGTGATCCCATAGGAGTCGTTGGCACCCTTTGTATTGATGACAGCTCAGAAGAGGCGAGGAAGATCACAATTGACCTCTTGACCTTGGCATACACCTCCACAGAAGCCGAACACCTGTCCTCAGAGAGCAGCTCCTCCTCGGAGAGCTCAGCTGGCTTCCTCGCCAGCTCACAGGTCCTGGGGTCCGATATTGCAACTCCAGCCAAGGACTTGGTTGCCTTCAGCATCACCCAGATTAAGCTCACCACCTGCATCACAGAAATAGAAACGTCTGTCATCGCCTCAGACACCAACCACGGCCCTACAGGAGCGACAGCCTTGTCCACTTCTGAGACGCTCACCTTGCCTCAATCCCCCGAGGCAAAACCACTTAGCCCCAAGACCACAAGCTCACCTGGGACCCCGTCAACAGCTGGCACCTCAACCCTTGCCACCACCCTTGAGGGCACACCCTCTATTAGTGGCGTCACAGAAAGAGGAACAACAGTGGCTCAGAATCCTACCTCCGGAGTCCCTTCAGGGACAGTTAGTACGAACCCACTGAAAGAGACCTCAACACTCTCTACAGCGACACAAAGCCACACTGAGGTCTTGGGAACAACGACCATCCCCAGGGCTACTGGGTCAACAATGGGAGAAGCAACCTCCTTCACTAGTTCCTCAACTCCAGACAACAGTCCCTCAGCGGGGGTCACCACCAAGAGCTCTACTACCTCGGAGACTTTAACCAGCAGCTCCCTAGCCAAGACCACGGCCCCACCAAGGACCGCAGTGGAGCCCCTAACGTCTACACCCACTGCTGCTTGGACAAGGACCACAAAACACGATCCAGGTGAGTGAACCTCTCATGTGTGATCTTTGCAGATTTAGGTTTGGAGTATTTGTAAGGAGTCGAGAGGAAGGAAGGAACTCACGGCTGGTGTTGCACCCTCTCCCTGACAGTCACATCTCCTGGTGGGTTGGTAACAGGCAGTTAAGATGTATATGTGATGTGGTGGTGTGTGTGATGTAATGATGTGTGTGTGTGATGTGGTGATGTGTGTGTGATGTGGTGATGTGTACTGACGTAATGATATGTATGTGATGTAGTGATGTGTGTGTGATGTAGTAATGTATATATGATGTAATGATATGTATGTGATGTAGTGATGTGTGATGTAGATGATGTAATCATGTGTATATGGTATGGTGATGTGTGTGTGATGTGATGATGTGTGTGTGATGTGGTGATGTGTATATGATATAGTCATGTGTGTGATGTAGTTGTGTGTGTGTGTGTGTGTGTGGTGTAATGATGTATGTGTGATGTAGTCATGTGTGTATGATGTAGTGGTATGTATGTGATGTAGTAATGTGTATATGATGTAATGATGTGTGTGTGAGATGTAGTGATATGTATGATGTAGTGATGTGTATGTGGTGTAGTGATGTGTATGTGATGTAGTGTTGTATATGTGATAAGTATGAAACAGGGTTTTTGAGAAGTGGTTGAGGTCTTGGCTCTGTTTTAACCTGAGAGACCTTGAACCTGTCCCCATCCTCCGAGCCTAAGTTTCTCCCCCTTGGCTGGGGGAAGGGGCTGCATGAACACCATCTGGATGAGCACCATCTTTTCCAGATCTAACTTAGTTAACTATTGAGCAACTACTGTGCTTCAGGAGAGATCTGAAATGTTACTGAAAAGACTTGGCTCTTAGGCCAGCCGTGCCCACAGAAGGGAAGAACGTGGACAAGCAACTTGTCCAAATTGCTGCCTTGTGAGCATGCGGAGGGCACGGAGTGGGGCTTGTTCTGCACCATAAAGAGCGACTGTAGGCAAACCAGCAAGACAACATTTGGGGAGTTTAGGTCTTAATTTCTGAGCCAACAGAAGCTTCTCGGGAGACCCACTGTCAGCGGCTCTGTGGTAAGAACAGCTTGTGGGCAGCCTGGAGCATCTGCCTCTGCTGCTTGTTCTGCCCTTGTGGTCCATTCCTGAGTATTTTGTCTTGTCCCACCTTCTGGGGCAAGGGAAATAAAAACACTAGTCATGAGGTGAGGATATAGCTCAGTGATAGAGCACTCGGCACTGTGAGTGTGCCTGAGAGCCTACATTCGACCCCCAGCCCTGAAAAATCCCAATCTCTGTCATCTCTGTGTCTCTCTGTCTCCACCATCTCTGCATCTGTCGTCTCCACCTCCATCTTGGTCTCTGTCTGTCTCTATCACCTCTGTCTCTAACATCTCTCTCTCTCTTTCTGTGTCCATCTCTACCAGTATCATCTTTTATCTTGATCTCTACGATCTCTCTATCTCTTTCTCATCTCTGTCAACTATCTCTATCTATCATCTATGTTCAGGCATGATATCACAGGCCTGCAACCCAGTCCTCAGGAAGTAGAAACAGAAGGACTGTGAGTTTGAAGCCAGCTTGATCTACATAGTAAGACCCTATGGGGGAGAAAAAAAAAAAAAAACAGAACCAACCCAAAGCAAAAATTAAAACAGAAAAATATTTAACCACAACCATGTTATTGAATATCTTTTATATTCTAGGCAAAAATAATATAAGAACACTTCACAGTCAATAGGCAGAACCCAAAAATGCATTCACCAGATATTCTATCTGTTGCTGTGATGACCACCAGGACCAAAAGCAACTTGGAGAGGAGAGGGTTTATTTGCCCACAGGCCAATCTGATGGAGGCAATTCCTCAGTGGGATTCCCTCTTCCCAGGTGTGTGTAGGTCCATGTCAAGTTGACAAAAGCTGCTGTAATACCAGAGGAAGGTGAATGAGCCTACATGGACCAGGGGTAGTCACTGATTGGATAGTTGCTGTCATGAGCTCAATAAATGACAAAATAATATTATTTTTAACCCAAGAATGGAGTAGCTACAGATACTCCACCAAAGAAATGTCTAGGAATTCCAGAGGCAGTTTACATTGGCAAGTTTGAATTGAGTTCTGCCCAATGCTATCTTCAAGATCCATTTTCAGAACATTCCCTCCCTCCGCCCCCGGTCCTAAAGAATGTTTGGGCTAGGTAGTGTTACCACAGACAACCAGCTTTTTCCTTTTCATAGGTTCATACCCATAGTTAATCTCAAAACTTGCCTCGGTGGGCTTTTCCTTGGAGGGTGATGGCATGCTTCCCATTCTGATAGCCAAAAGTGAAGCCACACACATGAGGTGGTCCCCAAGTGAAGTTCCACATGTGGGCTGGTACCCTGGTGAAGTTACACATGTGGGCTGGTCCCCAGGTGAAGTCATCACACGGGCTGGGATCCAGGAACCATTCTCAGGTTACCAGACTTGCTCTGCTTGCCCCTTAACCCATTAAACCACCTCAAAAACTCAGAGAAGAGTTCTCAGCACACATCTTAAGGAAATTTACTTTACTTGAATTCCAAATCTATAACCTCACAGATCATCCTCTTCTTTGGTCCAACCATCAGGCACAAAAATAGTCAGTGCCAGATCAGGGGGTCTAGGGAAGGTTCTCTAGCGCAGCAAATAGCCCTATAGGCTGCTGGGACTGACCTGGGAATCCTAGGACTGGCTAGCTGTCAACAAGATTTTTTTTTTTCTCAAGAAACATAAAGCAATGTTTATTTCTATTCACCCCAGATAGTGAGGGCTTTCATAGATTCTATCCAGTCCAGCCTGGTAAAACAACATGCTCATTGGTGTTATCTACGGGAGCCTGGATGGCTCAGAGGCTCCAAAGAGTCCCACCTCTTACATAACCTTGGTGAGCCTCTCCGATCCTCGCATGAGGGAATGTTCATAGACCTGCTTTGGTAAGGGTCATCCACAGGTGGTCACAGCTGCTATGATTTAAGACATCTGCTATCATGCCTAGCCCAGAGGAAATAGATACACAGCATTAACTGTGAGCCAAAAGCCGGGAGGCCTACCAACCTTTGTTTCTACCATCCCGAAAGGGAAATGACTTAGGGGCAAGTTGTTGGGGCAAGGGAAAAGATTCATCTGGAAAACCAGAGAATAAAGAGCATCTTGGGGCCCTCGAGTGTCTGAAGGGCTTAAGGAGGAGAGGAAAGAGCAGGGCATAAGGAAAAAAGACAGGATTCCAGAGACTTCTAGGAGCTAAGTCAGTGGCTTGTTATCTTAGTCACTCTTACATGAGGTAAATTTAAGAGAAATCGACTTTGTATTACAGTTTCACGTGAAGCGATTCTCAAATGGCTAATATCAAGAGTTTAAAGTTGAACAGAAATCTGACCCAAAGATTAAGGGGGCAAAGGAGACAGACGATGTGTGGTCCCCATGTGAAGTCACATACATGGGGTGGTCCCCAGGTGAAGTCATACAGACGAGGCAGAGATGTCAAGCATGTCGTCTTGTTTTAGCGGCTCGCCAGACCTCTGCAGATCCAAGCAGAGCCAGTGCCTTTAGTAAAAGTGGCCTCGGAGCCTGAAGAGGTGGCACACTCAACTGGTGTCACAAACCCCAAGTTGGAGGCATTGTCTACAGTGACTTAGTGAGAGACTGAGGAGACATTGCTCCGCTTCATGATCTCCAAAAGTTAGTGACTTTAGAAGTCAACTGAAGTCAATGAGGGCTAATTTGTTGCCTTAAGATAAAAGATAGCCGGGCGGTGGTGGCGCACACCTTTAATCCCAGCCCTCGGGAGGCAGAGGCAGGCAGATCTCTGT